GAGCAAGGACGCTACTAGGGGCTCCTGGCCTTACTACTAGTAACATGTACGCTACTAGGGGCTCCTGGCCTTACTACTAGTAACAAGGACGCTACTAGGAACAAAGGGCATCGCTACTTTCCGGTTTGGCTCTTTGGGCCGATCCCACGACAGCCATTCTCCGATTTCGGTGTCGCTGTCCTGGAAGAACGTATCAATGTCACCTGAGCGACCGGCTCATCTTGCTATTATCAGTTTCACCCTTCTTCAGAAAGATGCACACGCGTCACGCGTCCAAACATGTCAATCTGAACAACTGAAGGCTATGACATAGCTGGCATATCTCTCCCAGCTTCTCTCATTCCCCTCTGCTTTCTGCTCAAAGGATATGCACTAGGATATGCCTATGTGCCTTCTACAGTTTACCACCAAGAAACTCAGAACAGGAGGGTCCCACACCCTTTTCCCTAACCCCTCTCATCTTCTTTGGCAATTCGATTTCACCACACACAATTCAGTGAACAACTATTGTGCACCCAGAAGTCAAGTTTCACAACAACATACAAAAACCACGTCCCACCACTTCCTGCAGCAGTTATTGGACACCGCGTATGAAACAAGCGCGAACTCCGTTTTGGCCATGTCGCCTCCGGGCTCATCGCCCACCTTGCGAGCCTGGCGAGTCCGCAAGTTTGGTTTGGGAGGTTCCAACAGGAAAGGATTATCACTGGAACCATGTTGTGGACCACATCGCGCTGTTGCTTTCAGGAAAAACACATACACAGCATACACATTCCACATGTCAAGGAGCGATGTACCATGATGTACCCCTTGCACTGGTTTGGTTTCACTTCCAAAGAAATGCTCCCTCATGCTCCCACTATGCTTCTGTGGTCGGCTGTGACTGATTGCTCATATTGATCCTTTCGTTTCATGAGCACGACACTTGATCTTGTTCTGATCTACAGTTGTGTTGCTTTGGGTCAGCTGGCGTCATTGCCGACATTTCACCGACCTCCGGTCCCTCTGGTCCAGCTTTCTTTAGAACATGGACCAAATCGCCCCCCAGCCAACCCGCTGGGGCATCTGCCTGGATGGGTGGTGACCTGGCAACACCATAACTTCCTCAGATTCCAGTGTCTACCTGTTCTGGGCACCAGGGAGCTCCGCTTCGGACCCCCCGCGCACCGCCAGCTGCGGCTCTGATCGGCTCTTCGCGAGCACGCGCTCCTAAGAGGAGTGGCATCCTGGATTGGGAACCAGGGCCAGGCAGGCTTCAACATCTGCCAAAACTTTGCAGTCATTCGGTACTACTCCCGAATTTTTCCATACTACTTTGAGCCATTCCGCAGGGCGTCCCACCATGCCAAAGCAAACGCTGCATTCTTGGTGGGCGGCGATGCCTACCCATAACCAAAACATACTAAGTTTGAGATGGTTGGGTGCCAATGTGCCAGGGTCCTGCATTTTGACATCTTCGTTGCTAGCCTTCCACAGCTCTCAAACAAGTCTTGCCTGACTTGGTCACCAACACCTTGCCTCCAGAAGCCCTCCGAAGTCAAACCCTTACAGTAGGTACCTCGCGTACACCTTCCCACTTCACTCGAATCACCTCGATTCTGCAATAGATGTGGCTTTCCTGCCAAGCAAAGGGTCCATATCCGTTCATATACCTGGTCAACATGATATCATGCAAGCTTCGTCGCCGCGACAGCCCTTTGCAAGTCACCTAAATATACCCAATGTTTTTTGTTCTTGTTCATAAGCTTGTGCAGTGACTGTTCAAGAAAAAAATAAACAAAAACATCTACTGTATAGAACGTAGTCTCCCTAAACCTCTTCCAAAAGCTGCCCCATCAACCTCTATGACCAATCAGCTAGGACCCCTCCTTGTACTTCGGCTTCGGCTCGGGCTTGGCCAAGGCTTTCAGGTATCTCCCCTCAATTCTTGGATTCTTGGACTCGTTTGGCTCAGTTCCAGTGACGAAGGCTGGGGTTTTCTGAGGATGAGTCGGGCGGGTCACGAAGACACGTAGAGGCGCCAATCGTAGTACTTACTTACTGCCTATACGTCGGAGATGGATTTGATCCGCAGATCTTGCTACATGTTGGCCACATGTTACACGTCGTCTATGCATCACAAGCGTTTCATTTGGCCGACCGAGGAATCTTTACCGTGGAAGGTCACCAAAGATCACAGAACTGACTAACAAATGTCAGTGTTCCAGGAGTTCCGAAGGGGTGCTATCCATGAAGTCGGGGTGCCCGTTCTCCACTCACTTGGGGTCCCAAATTCGATGGAACTCCAGGGTTGGCTACTCACAGATCGACAGTTTGGCACTGTTGTATGATCTACGCTTATCAGGAGTTGCAGCGTTTCGATCCCAATCAACCTTTGGAGGTCTATGTCCCTTTGGCGGGTCTATATGATCTCCGGATTGTTAGTCAGATCGCCCATTGGCCAAGCAGCCTTTATGACTGTAACTCGTTCAGCGAACCTGCCACGAATTCCTCTTCACAGCATGAATCTTCGACATTCTTCGACTACATGTCTGATGTCTCTTGCTGAATGCTTCTAAAAGCCCCAGGTTCTGCCACCAATCAGTCGAGCGAATGTCACACATACACACATCGTTCACGGGAGACATCAATTCCACATTCAGAGTGAGTGGATTAACCTTCTTTGAGTCTAGTCTACTCCAACAATAGCCTGCTCTTGGGCTGACACTACGCTGATCTCCAGCAAAGACCAACATGTTGTATAAACTGTTAACCTCACAGCAAAGCAACATATCATTGGGGAACACAAAGGCACATACCCGGTGAAATCCCGTTGACATACCCCCATAGAGTCCAGTTCCAGACCAACATGGCATGAACACCTGCCCGTGTTCGTCGCAACAGTGCCACACCCAACGGAAACTGCCCGCGGTGGTGCCAAGACGCTGTGCCCATCTTCTGGATTCGGTCACCCGGCAAGCTCCTGGTGTTCCTAGTAGTTTCTTGTTCCTAGCAGTAAGGCCAGGAGCTACGAGTAGCGTCCTTGCTCCTTGTAGCGATGCCCTTTGTTCCTAGTAGCTCCTGGTGTTGGAGGAAAAGGCTCCGCATGGTGCCACAATGTGCCACATTGGTCAAAACATACGCGGTGAAACTCACGGGTGGGGTCTGCAGGAGCAGGAGCAGCAGAAAGGAAGCAAGCACGGTTGGTGGGGTTGAAAAGAACATAAGAGAACCCAGCATGAAAAGGATTGAATCTTCTCTAAACATTGGAGTGGCACGGGGTGGCATGCAGCGCATGCAGTGACTGCAGTGATTCTTTGTAGGAATCTACATGTTTGGGGCTTTGCGCACAACGACCCCCAAGACACCCCAAGTTAAGCCTCGGAGACTCAAGAAATGTCGGTCCTCCCGGGAATGCTGGGAATACCCGTGGTGTCCCAGCCCTCCTGAGCAAAGTCACATGTTCAAGCCGATGGAAGATGCACAGTAACTCTCAGTATCAATAACCTGGCCTTTGCGGCTCACAAAAATGAAATAAAGGAGCTCAACTCCGTCAATTTCAGCAGGTCATACGAGTAATTAGGGAGCTCGATGCATGAATAGATATGAGTCATGAGCATCACCATATGAGGTCGATCTCGCCCCTATCTGTTTCAGACGAACTCCAGCGCATGGAAGGGGAGAATGGACCTTCACGACCAGCTTTTGCTGGAGACTATATAATTGCAATAGTTTGCCTTTCCTGTGGAACAATCATAACAAATTCAGTTGTCCAAATGTGTTTGTTGCTGCCGCAAGAGTGCTGACTGGTGGCACATGGTAGGTCATCATCCATGCCCAACACCAGCAATCCACATGTCCACTTTGCGGAACGTAACTCTTGGTCTGAAAAAGAACACGTACGTGCATTTCGTCATGTTGCTTGTGTAGGACATAGCTTGGTTCCCAGCAACTGCAAGCTAAGCTGGGGCTTGGAGTCGAGTTGGTCGCCTTCTGTTCTGACCCCTGTGAAACATCTGCTCACCAGGTCGCCTTGTAGCCGTAGTCGGAACGGACCTGTCTCTAAGTCGCCACACCATCAGTCTGGTCGAAGGGTTCTTGGTGTGTGTCATGCATGTCAGGAAGGTCTGGAAGCAGTGAAGGGGCCCAAAGCTGGAAAATGGCTTGAGCTGGTTGCGATGCAAAGAAAAACTATATAGTGTATTTTTCCCAGAATGATGTCTAGCAGCCTAGCACTCCCATCTTTCTCAAGCAAAGCTGATTTCTTCATGTAAGGACCTGGGAGCCATTGATATGTCTCGTCAAAGAAACAGAATAACCTAAAAAGTCTATCCTGCTTAGCTGCTGTGACAAGCGAACTCCACATTGTAAGTTGATTCTTTGGAAAGGAAACAGGGCATGTCTGGTTCACCCTGAACCCACAGGTTGGGTCCGGTGCTGTTCTGCCTCTTGATTCCCAAACAACAAGTCAGGGGAATGCCTGAAAGCATACATCATGCACACCCCTTGGTGAAAAAAAATGCATCACTTTCACCAACTCCTCATTGCATGCCGTTACACTCCTAAACACCAGAAAAGCTACCCAACCAAGAACCGAATCCTTCAGCACATCACCCCATCATCCCTCAAAATCGCCCTCTTAGGCCCACCAACGGTGACCGAGCGAGCGATTTGGCCTCAGCTCCTGCCAGGTCGAAGTGTCCCGGTCGAACCCCCAGCCTTCCCGAGGTTGTATTCCGGATGGCCCACCACCACGAAGTCGGAGCGCGTCCCAGCAAAGTCCTGTCTTGGGCTTCGCTTCGGAGTTCGGGGAAAGGACACGGCATTTTTATGCATTTTTGGGGTGATTGAGCTGTGAGTACAAGACTCCCCCAAAGAAGCAGTTGTGACTTTTCAGAAATGCTGGAGGGTGAACAAACATGGCAGCTTCAACTCAGGTAAGGAATGGTAAGGATGTTGTTGCGGGGAGCAAAGTGTGTGAACTTGGAAAGGCTTGGTCCTCCTGCGCCTGTATGTGGATGTTTTGTGTTATAAACCAACAACACTCCTGCTTGATCGTCCCAGTCTAAAGCGAGTTACGTCTAAATACTTAATACTTTTTGGATGTCAATTGCCAACTACATGCCCAACTTCAAACCCGTTGTAACAAATGACTCAATGGCACTGGTTGGGAGTGACTCCATGCGGCATCGATGAATCATCATGGAGACTATGACTAGACATTGGCTGCCCCACCGCGTAGAAGTTGTTGATGAGGCGCAGGCCATACATGCCGCCTGAGGCATCGGGAACCCCGGTGTGTTCTCGGTTCCCGAGAAATCTCAACAGTGGAACCGAGTCGAAGCCTTTGGAGCACAACGGCGCTGGTTTTGGAAACAAAAACAATAACCACCGGCTTCTTCAACATGACCTGAACTGGTATGCCTAAAGGTCCCTTTGGAGGAGGCACTGGAGACAACTGGCTTTGGACACCTTTTGCAACTGACCACTCTGGCGCCCATGATTGTAACGTTTTGCAACTATATACGTCAGAGTTCCCATCATCAGAGTTCCCATTCCCATTTTGCTTAAGACTTGATGGTGATTCGATGTTCTTGGCAAGAAACGTACAATATCATATGGGAAACTCGGCTGAGCAATCTCAGGTGCACTTGAAATTGAAGAAGGACCTTCATCTTGAGTCTAAAACCTACTATACTTGTGTTATACCGATATATATACCAGTGGCGGATCCCAGCGAAAAAGAAATGCAAACTGAGCCAGTTGCGCAGCAAATCACTCCAAGATAGAGGCTATGGTTCAAAAAGCTAATATGCTGTTGTTGCTCTCCCCCATCTCAGTCAAAACCTCTGTCTCTATGTCCATCTGTGACTCTGCGACTTGCTAAAGCAAGCTCGCAAATATGAGCAAAGAAACAACCCAAGATCCTGAAGTGAGACGCACCAAGTTGAACTGCTGGAACATCTGTTGCACCATCTTTCCAGCTGTGAGCCAGAATTTTGCCGATTTCGGATGTCGAACGGGTCTGAGATCCGGTCAAACCGAGCCAAGCTCTGAAGCTTGGAGTTCGTCTATGAAATTCAACAATGGGTTTCCCAAAGATGGGACTTGGATTGACTGGTTGGTGGTCATCCCAAGTAAAGGTTTCAAAGTGATTTACTTGGACAATGAAGAATCACATAGAAGATCTACCGCCAGCTGATCACTTTCACATACTTTCACAATCTTTCTGCTACGTACACACACACCAGTCCTTGTGCCTCTACGAGGTTGAATGTCCTGAGTGCACCCGCCTGCCACCCGAGGACACAGGATGTAACTTCTATACGCTTTACACTCCAAGGAAGAAAGTGAAGGTCATTATTCACGGAAGGAGACCGAGCAATTCTCATCAAGTTTGCCACCATCGCTGGAGCATCTCCAAGCATTGATCACCTCAAACCGTTCCAATGATATCATCAAATTGCTAATCTCCACATATCTCCACATGCCCGATATAACTAAAAGGACCTCCCCGGCAACATAGGCCTGAACAAAACGGCCGTTCTCACTTCTCCAAAGTTTGGAACATGCCCTCTTTGCGATGAACAAAATATACACTGACACCCATGTGTCTTTTTCATGCGCAGACTCGAGCCCTTTCTCCACTAGCTCTTCATCACTACTGAGCAGCTCTTCCCAGGCCACCGGAGTGCCTCGGAGTGATGGCTAAGCAGCGTGCTGCTCTTCCGACGCCTTCCCATTTTGGGAATAACATTATGTTTAATTCTCTGCACATCAGCTAGACGTTCGTCAGTTTTCAATCGTAGAACAGCATTAATGAGGGATGAAAAACCACTATAGATAGTTCAGTTTCGTGCGAAGTTTTTAGAAAGTTCCCGGATGTTACATACTTTGTCCAGTTCTCACAGGACTCGGCATCAATGGGTCTTTCATCAGCAAGAACTGCCAGGCAAGGTGACACCAACAGCTAGACTCAGACACAACACTCTCTTTCATTCCCATGTCCCAGGCTTACAATAAACAACAATACTTTCAGGCTTCGTGGTATGGTTGAGTTGTAAAATCTTTTCGCATCATCACTGTCAGCCTTCTGGAACACCACCCCGAGCAACGATGGACTCAACCACTGGGTATGGCATGTAAAGCAAAGTCGAGCTAAAGTTCGCATCGCTTTGGAATTGCTTTGTCCTTACCAGTCCCACATTCTTATGTACTGATCCAATACAGTATCCGACCAACTCTCCACCTCCTCCCAACCCCTGCTTGCTTTCTTCTGCCAGTGGCGAGGAGTGCCTTGATCTCGTTGCGCCTCCAACGGCCGAAGCGAACGCCACGGGTTCGGGGTCAGGGATGGATGGACGGTGTCTAGACTGACATGGGAAGAAACTGTTTACCACGTCATAAAAGGCAAAATGATGCGGTATGTTGCATCGTTTCCAAACATTCAGTTTTTCCAAAACCTGATTTAACGCAAATCCGTTCCAAAACAAACATCCAAGGTCGCAGTTGACGTGTGCATAGATGTGTACCAAATGTTGTTTTTCTCAGCAATTTCCAAGGACCGAATTCAGTGTGAAGTTTTCTTGAGTTCACAGTGTCACACACCTATTTTTACATCACCTCACCGTGGAGTTCTATCCTGCTTCATTCTGGGTTATCTAGGCAACAGAAAGGTCCTTGATATCAACTTATCAACATTAGTTATAACAAACATTAACAAACATAGTTGTAATCCCGGGCAAAGTCCCACAAAGTCATTGACTGAACAGGCAAAACTCTTTGCAGTAGGAGTGTCCACATTTTAAACATTTGTCCGACGCGGGACTCAAACTTGGTCAACGGTTCTTATGTCAATCCCTGTTAAAAACGCTCAGCCACATTGTTGCGGCGCGCTTTCGTGGATTGGCTGGGGAAACCCAGTTGAACATAACATAACTCGGAACCGAGTCCAGGCAGCCCGTTACCGCGCCTGAAGACGTTCCCAAATGGGAGACGTGGGAGAACCTCGACGGCTCGCCGTCCCATGCGTGCGTGAGTGCGTGCGTGTTGTGTGTACACCCTCGATTCAAGGGTAGCCTGTTGGCTTTTACATTTAAAAGCAGGGGGCGCAGGGAATCTCGATGGGTCCTGCCAAATTTCTCCAAGGTCGAACAGTTTCAAATCACAAGGTGAAGATCAAGCGAGAAAAGCGGCGAGAACGAAAGGGGAGTATGTGTAGACCTGAATCATCCTGCAGCAGCCTGAGGACCTCTACGATTGGAGAGTGGCTAGAACATTCACAAAATGCAGGTACAGGAAGGTGACCAGCCTTCCCCTCCCATCCATGACCGTAGCTTCGTTGCACACGGTGGGCCATGGACGCCGCGTGCCCCTGCTTACTAAAGAAACTACAAATCAACGGGCTCCCTGATTCCAAGGGTTACACACACACACACACTTGGACATGATCTGTATGACCTGAATGCCACCTGCCCTGAAGGAACCTCAGTCGTGCAGTTAAACGTGTACATTCACAAATCTTGCCCATTTACTGCAGTAGAACGCCTACAGTCACTTGAGTTTTCAGGTTAATGGTCAAGCTACCTTTAAACCTAACCTCTGAGGCGTTCATACCTGGCTGGGCGTGTGGCATGTGGCATTCAGTTCGGTACGCAATATCTCGAGTGTGTCTGGCCGTTGTGCCTGCCCAGGGTGTACCCTAGGAGTGTCCCCTGTGGCCCCGTTGAACCCCCGGCTTGGGAACGTAGGTGTCCGTAGCAGACAGCAGGAGGCTTTTGGCAAAGTTATTTGCAAAGTATTGCATTTGAGTGGGCACCTTTCGGGCAAGCCATTAGGTGACCATAGCTGTCAAAGCCGCCCGCCATTTTGGCATGGCGCAAGGTGGCCGCAGCGGCCGAAGTACTCCCAAGGCCCAGTGGGGCCTGTCGCAGCCTTAAGTGCACACACAGCGCGTACATTCCAAACCAGGCCAGGTCTTCCTAGGTCGCCTTAATGAGGTCTGGTTTCGTCGGTTTCCGGTTCCCCTTTTCATCCTTTCCCTTCATACACACTTTCTTTTGCGCGCGCACACGTACACATTGGCCTTCACCTTAGCTTTACGCCTCCCCTCGGGGAGGCGTGTGTGTGTAACCCTTGTAGTCACAGGGCTTCTTTTGAAGTTTGATGGATGACACTCACAAATCTTGAAGTGTACCATGTTGTTGCAGTTGAAAGGAATGATACGCACAAATCTTGAACTGTACCATGTTGTCGCAGTTGAAAGGAATGACACGCACAAATCTTGCAGTGTACCACGTTGTTGCAGTTGAAAGAAATGACACGCACAAATCTTGATGTTTTTCATAATGTTGCAGTGCAACCTTTGGAGTCACAATCCGTTTTCGGTTTTGTTTTGTGTTTTTTTCGCTGCCTTGTGTCTTATGGGCCATCTTTCCTATTGCGCAGGCCTCCAACCTTGTCGCTATGGCCTCTTTCTATTTGCTGTACCTTTCTAGTAGTTGGCTTGCCGGTTGCCCTTAGGGCCGGCGCGTCCACTCTGCTTGGCTGGATGCTTTCCTATCCAGTCAGCAGAGTTGGGGTGGGCATAGCTGCTGCTTGCTGCTGCTTGCTGTTGCTTGGGCCTCCAAACTTAGGCGCTGACTGACCTCCAACTTCTAGCGTCCGCCTCTACTTTAACTTTAACCTACCTCGTTTCCTAAAGTTTTTACTTTTTTACTTACTTACCTCGTTTCCTAAGGTTTTTTAACCTAGGCCGGCGAGTGGCACCGCTGTCAGTTCCGTACGCGTCTCCATAAGTGTGTGTGTGTACCCCTTGGAGTCACACGGATCCTGTCGGATTGTTTTTCGGTTTTTGCTATTTCGACCATTCCAGCAGGGGAGCGGTGGGCATTCTTGAAGTCACCGCTCAAAGAAGACACTTCAAGTTTGCTGTGATATGCAATCTGGACGCAGATTGCATGTACCTCCGAAAAGATGATCACCACTCATTTCCTTTTGGGCCCCGTTGTACCTAGAACAAGACTTCCAGCCATTGCATCGGTTATGCACTCGGCAGTCATGCAGCTGCTTTTTGCCTTTGAGTTTGAGCTTGAAGGCTTTGCAGGATTCTTGTGGTGTTTTTACCTGGGCCCTTAGGTTTTTCACTTAGGCTGGCGTGTAGCAACCGCTTTCCAATCAGTATGCATTTCCATAAGTGTGTGTGCGTGTAACCCTTGGAATCACAAGGAACCGGTTGATTTGTAGTTTCTTTAGTAAGCAGGGGCACACGGCATCCATGGCCCACCGTGTGCAACGAAGCTACGGTCATGGATGGGAGGGGAAGGCTGGTCACCTTCCTGTACCTGCATTTTGTGAATGTTCTAGCCACTCTCCAATCGTAGAGCTGCAGGATGATTCAGGTCTACACATACTCCCCTTTCGTTCTCGCCGCTTTTCTCGCTTGATCTTCACCTTGTGATTTGAAACTGTTCGACCTTGGAGAAATATTAGGTTTTGAGCTTTCAGGTTCATGGTCAAACTACCTTTATATAACCTGACCTCTTATTCGTTCATACCTAGGTGGGCGTGTGGCATGTGGCATTCAGTTCAGTACGCAATATCGAGAATGTGTGTGTGTTATGAACAGTTCAGAAAAACACATATTAAAAACATACCGCGTTCAACTCCTTCGCCCTCTTGTGTTGGCAGGGAGATTTGGTCTAACTGCATCCAGAGTTCACCCTCTGATGACCACAGCTGGATTTCACTGAGGTGTTCTTGACCTTTGAGGCTCATCCTTCTGCGGATTTGGATTTGGCTTCCTATTGTGCACAAAAGGCCCGTTTGTAGCTTTCAGATTTTTGGCTTCGTTCTGCTTTCAGCCACTCATCTAGCTTAAAAAGGAGTATCAAACATGAAGATCTTCCCAACTCGGCCTCTCCGAAGCACACGCGCACACTACCCCGCCGAGACACTCCGTGGATAGTTTTCACACATGCACATGCTGAGACCCTTAGAGATGCTGAGATGGACTCCTTGGAGATCTCAATGTTTCGGTTGAAGCTCTGGAAGAAGTGTTCCGGCTTCATCCGCTTCCGGAGTCCATGAACGTGAAGGGACCATAAGGGACCCGTTTGGATGTTTGGAACATGTATTTCTGTATTACTTTATTATAGTATGTCACAACTTATATATGTCAAAATATGTCTGTGTGTTGTCTGTGAGGGACACAAGGGTCCCGCTTTCAGGTGCTTGTGCCTGGAAAACCGCACTCTATGGGCCCTGGGTCAAGCAATTTGTGGCATTGTTGAGAAGAAACAAGGCACCCGGCATTCCGTGCTCAAACAAGTGACGCTCTTCTTCGGGCTTTGATGCTTTTGCTGCACTTGAAGCACTCTCCTTCAGGACAATCTCAGGAAAGTCTTGTTACATGTGAGCCAGGTTATCGAACATCAGGTTCGGGTTCCACGGAATGGGTTTCACACTTTTGAGTGTGTTTTTGGTCGAGTCAATCAAACACCAAAACGAAGCGCATCAGAATCCCAGCTCCAAACCGGTTCGAACCAACAGCTCCGCTATGCTCCGCTCATCCACAGAACCTTTGACCTCATCTCCCGATCTCCTCCGGTGTGGGCTGGACCGGCTGGACCGGTAAATCCGGCGCTGGACCCGGCTCCTGACCTCGGTGGATGGCTGAAGTGGACAAGGAACATGAGACACGTTGAGCCACAGGCTCCGAGGGGAGTGATTTGGGGGGCCTCATTTTCCTGGTTCGAAGAAGTTGGGCTCCCAGGAGGAGATGGTGATTCGCTTTCTCATCTTGTGTTCTGCGTTCCAAGATGTAACGAAGGCCGCCTTCGTTGTGGTTGAGCCGGGCGCAAAGCAACGATCGACTGCATTGAGTCAGGCTGCGTTGAAGGATCTCCAAGGGCAATTCATTCTTCTCCTGAGCAGATATAGCAGATCAGGGAAAGGACATACGGTTCATCACAGTTCATTGAACACCTGGATCCAGGGTGCACAAGATCAAACCTGTTTCTCAATCACGCTCTACTCTCAGATGCCACTCTTTTGCGATGACAATAAACATTTCAATGGACCTACATTATGTCACCTGCACATTTCAGGTCTAGACCTGTGTGCTCAACTGTGAAACAACAGTTGACCTTTGACCTTGGCCAAACAATATTCATATTCATTAATTGCTGTTTCAAGGAGGCAACTTACAACCTGAAATCTCAGGGGTTGGTCAGTTGCTCCAATTGTCGCTGACCCCTCAGCACCTAAACCGTAGGTCAACGACGCGCCAGGTCAATATGCCCAGTCCCATGGAAGCATGCGGTCGGCTGTCTGAGCGAGCCCCTCCCGAAACAAACCGTTTCTCGGAGTGCTACGGTGGGTGAGTCGGGGGAGTGGAAGCTCCTAGTAGCGTCCTTGTTCCTAGTAGTAAGGCCAGGAGCCCCTAGTAGCGTCCTTGCTCCTAGTAGCTTCTGGTGGCTCTGGTGAGTGGATCGTGGATGATGTCTGTACACTGGAAAAGGACGAATCGCTCGTGGCCTCGACTTCTTGCTTCCCTCGACGGCCTCCGAAACCGCGCATCTCACACGCTCAACGGGCATGGTGCAAACAGGGTTCCAAAAAACCAGGGAGTTCTGCAGCAACAAACCAATGCCCAAACTAGTTAGTTCAGAAGAGTGAAGAGAGTGAAGGGTGATTAGCTCCTTGGCTCGTCTGGCAACGCGAAGAATGAATGCTCCTTAGTGCCTTAGTGACCCTAGCTTTGTTGCTGTAAGAGCGAGGCTTCTGAGAGCAGCAGGTTCAGAGCTCAAAGAACCGGGAACAAAACCACAGACTATCAAGGCGATTCGTTTAGAGAACGTCTTGCTTGCTGGGGGTTCATCTATTGCTACCCCTGAACACCTTCATGGAAGCGGAACATCAATGAATGCTCTCTGGCATGGATAACAACTTGCCCGCCAAAACAACGGGGCTTTACCTCCCATTCCCTGACCATCCATGGGACTTGGCTAGTTACATACATTAACGCCATGAATATGACCCCAATGGAAGTAGATAACTATGCCAGCCCCATGGATGGTCTAGGATTAACAACAGAATTAAGTTTACAATCACAAACAGCTTGGGCAAACACACAAGGGTGGTGGGCAAAGCACTGCTGGGATCCTTCAAGAACACATTCCAAGTTGCAAATACAACCTCCTCAGCAAATCTAAGGTATCCTTCTTTTCAGGCGAGCAGGGCTTGGCAACTTGCGCCCCTGAAGCATTAGAATTACAGTTTCCTCGTACTTGACATCATCGGCCAATTCCCCACTATTGGAGAGCTGAAACAAGCTAAGATGGATCCCAAACATCTCTTGTGCAGCTTTCTGATTATGAATCTTGGATGACCTAATAACCCGAGCTGCCCGAGCTTGGATGAATCACGTTGCCTTGTCGTAGCCATCCTTCCGTCTCTTCGGTCCTTAGAAGGCTTAAAGGCCGCCCGGTGCTCATCTTTTTCGCTCACAGCGTGAGCCTTTCGGTGTGCTGAAGCCAGCGCCCAAGTTGGGCGCTTTAAGCTCCCCCAAAAAAAAATACTGGATGCAAGCAATATGCCAATATGCAATCGATATGCAAGCGATGTTCGTCTTTTCAATGCATCCTTGGCAAAAACACATTCACACCATGGATCATACAGAAGCATATTCCATGCAGCACCACAATCTGGACAAATCTCAGCACCCCAAAACCTCGCTGATCTTTTCCAAAAGCCGCACTTCTCCCCGTCTTTCCCGGACAACGTGCGAGTGGAACGCTCAGCACCAAGCTGCCGGTCACTGATTTCCGCCTGACACACCCGAGGTGGCGCACCGCAAGCGTTCATTCGCAAAGAAACATGGGAAGCTCTGGGAGAACGCTTCACAGATCACACCTGACATTGATATTGGGCGCCACAGATGAACTCGGATATACTAGATTATGGTCAGAAGAACCTCTGCCATCACCCATCGTACGTCCTTAGAAGTAGAGCATGGAAGTTCATCATATTTGCTATAGTCAATATATGATGATTTTAATTATATAGCTCGGCCCTGGAAAACCCAAGCCCCCAGAAAAGCAAATCCACCGGAAATGGCTTCAATAACCTCCACAATCCAAAAGGTGGCGGTTTTATCTTTGGGAGCGGGAGTGGATGGCTTTAGGACCGTGTTCAATGCAAATCATCTAGGACTCGGTCATAAACAAATGATTTTGTTATTTGATGTTATTTGGCAGCTATTTCAGGACTTCGTCCATCATAGTCCATCAAAGCACCCCTTTAAGCACACGATCTTCTTGGCAACAGTGAGCGAGTCCGTTGCGATCTCCCGTGATTTGTGGGACAGAAAGCTGTTGGACATAGGAGATCCTCTTACAGTAAATAGCCAGAGATGAACCATCAAGTCATGGTCGGAAGTTGGAAGTCACTTGAAACATATTATTCAGTGGATTCAATCATTGATCCCGAGTAAAGGCTGCGAATAAACCATAAATCCCCGAACCCGTGTGTGATCTATCATGATGCATCCAATTCTTGCCTTACGGCCTTCCACTTCACAGCGGTGCACCAGTCACATCTCCACTTGCCGTCGAGTCTTCCTGACCGAGAAAAAGAAAGACCCCAACCGACCTTGCGCTGAAGGATTTTGATGGGTGCTGCTTCGTTTGCCGCCGGCTCCTGCGAATGGGTGAGGACCAAACCACCCAGAGAAGCAAACGGCTAGAGCGACCTGAACACTCCACAAGTATTGTCATGGCCTGTTGGGAGAGTGCTGCAGGTTCTTTACAATCTTGCACCTGAACTTAGGTGGGTAAGGAGCTGAAGTCGCCAATCCCGACATTGTAATCCATGCGTTAATGGAAAAACAATAATAATAGTAATACATTGTTTTTCTGGTAGAACCATTTCCTTCATCATGCGTCCGACCACCAATCTCGCCAAAAGCGCAAGGTCCCAATCAACAAATTAGCTTGCAAATCAATACATCCATTCCCTGCAGCTCCATGTCAGGAACAAACAAATCATGTTTGCCTGAGTATACAATGATCGAATATATATATATATATACAGTAATTGTATTATCACTATAGCCATCTCGAATGCTGGGGATTTCAACAAAACCAATGAGCATTGGGCACGATGATGGTATCAATTGAATCATCTATGCTAGCTGCCAACACAAGCACCAACAAAACTAATCACTTGCCTAGCTTGTAACAAAATGGTTCGAACAAATAAGGTCATAGTAATGCACGTATCTAATGTGTATGTCTCTCTATATTCAGTGTTGATGATGGTTATATTCGCTAGTTTTCGGGATGGTCAGCTTCAGTTCCGGCACTCACACGACGACCCTGGTCTCCTGTGACTGTGCACGAGATACGCCTTTGTGCAGGGCCATGTCAGTGAACTGGGTTTGGTCCACCAAAGCCAAAAGATGCCAAAGGAATCTTGGCCGCCCCTAGCCAGAACATCTTGGACCCTGGATACTCCAATCAAAACCACAAAACATATTGGGAATAGACTTGCCTTTGTTCAGAATCTGTGCGTTGTGTACAAATCAACGCCCATGTAAGTTTATCCCTCCAAGGGCAAGTGACCCCAGGCCGTGGAGACACAGTTTTAGCACCTCCAGGTGTTCCCATCCCATGCAATTCTATGCTATTGAGAAACTTTGATTCTATTTGTGATTCAATCTATACAACTGTACAGCAATTATTGTTATTATACCTGGCGCTGCCAGGAGTCATTGTCATCTCACCTAAACCACCCAAATAAGCAGGACTTGATAGCTGTTGAGACCACTTCTTTCCCAAGCACCCTCAAACGGCACGGTGTATAATGCCACAAAGGTTGAAGCTACCGAGACAACTGATGACAATCACTCGGGAATACATTTGTGGAAGTCCCTCTACAAAATCTGAAAGCAACTCAGGTCTCTATTCTTCAAACAGTCGTTGAACAGCGGTTGTGAGACAGCGGGTTTCGGTGAAGAGATGGTTGGGGAGAAACAGCTACAGCTTCTACCTCCCTCAGCCCAATAGGTCAAAGCTTCGATTTGAGACGCTCAGCTCGGACAAAGGCTTATTCTAGGCCCGCTGGTTGAGGGGAAATCTGGAAACCAATCTGGAAACCAATCAACACCACCTCGCGCTTGAATAACAAGTCACCAACTTGGTAGATGACCTTCACCTTCCCTCGAAAGCCACAAGCACGGTAGTCCTCCAGCCGATGCATTTCCAGGGAAAAAAAAACACCGAACACAAAGATCCACCAGGCTGACCGAACCCCAAACGACCGCGCCCGAGCCGTGCCTGGGATCTTTTCCAAGGCTCTCGTTAAGGCGCGGGTGTCCCAGAAATGACCCAACAAAGAGATGGAGGCGTGAATGCTAAGACCTGAAATTCGGGCAGGAGTTTCGCCCAGTTGGGCTGGCCGTTTCACGAGTGTGTGTGTGTGTGTGTGCAAGGAAAAAAGTGTGCGCCGAGGCATCAACCCACACAAGAGTGTAGAATGACACCTACAAGGTCCTACAAACATCTACAACATATACTTTGAATACTCAGAAAGAAAATATTGTCCTGCATTCACTATGCTGAGGGTAGTTGGGCGGGTGGTCGAAGGGTGGATGGATTTCAGTGTGAACAGGGGGCTGCAGCATCGTCCATATCTCAAATTCAAGTATAGCATAGTATAGCTACAACTAGCTATAACACCTGCAAAACTCACATAGACCCTGAGATGGCCTAAGTTTCCGATGCCCCTTCCATTCAGTGGCGACATGAATTCGTTGTTTGATGTGTTTGATGTTGTTTACGGGTTGTGCAAAGAGGAAAAGCTCTTTGACTTGGCCCTGCCGAGTGAAAACAGGTCGGCGGAGAAGGGTGGTGTCACCGGATCGGCAGCTAATCACCGAATGCACATCCAAGCCAAGCCTTCGTTGCTTTATCAAAAGAAATGAATTTCATGAAGCCACATGAGCCATCTATGTGTCGGGCCGGGCCTAATCAAAACAAGCATGACAACATGACTGGGCCTTTCTTTTGCCGGACCAGCCACAGAAGAAGACTCGCCAAGGCACGAGGCATGGCGAGCTGCGTCCAAGTCTTTGAGGTGCCCTTGGGGAACAAACCTGGCGCTGCCAGGGTTTGAGTGACCAAGGGATCAACTGGGAGGTCACTGGAAGATCAGTGGAGATGGGCTGGTCTGATGGCATTCTGGCTTCAACCTGGGGAAGGGCCGTCTCTCCTTCTTTCCCCCACCGCACCTTTGAGCAACTGCGACCGGAAGTTGCGCGGGAAGTCGCGCGCACCAGACTGGTGTAGCAACACCACCTGCGACCGGTCGAGCTGTGGCGGGTCGGTGACTTCTTCGCGCGAGCGAGTGTGGTGGGAAGTTCACCTTCAAAGCGCTACCTGGTGAGTGGGTGGGAGTGACAGGTGGCATAGGTGGTACTGTAGGTACACATTCAGGGCTGACTTATATAGTGGTATTTAGTGGTGGTCAGAGTGGTCTTCGTCTTGGTGGCGGTCGTGGTGGCGTTGGCAGCAGTGGTGATTGTGGCGGGAATGGGAGTCAGGATGGGACAAAAATGAGTGCAGGCACAATGCACTGGGTGTTGCGTTGCTGCTAACCCCATTCTTGAAAGCGACTTGCGCTCATGTGCGTTGCATGAGGACATTCAAGACAGGATGGGGAGTTTTCAAGGTGAGTATCTTTCTCATAAGCCCTTCTGTTGCACAATCTTTTCGCCCTCCTCAATACGCGTTCGTCTGCATTAAAACGTGACGCACCGTAGCAACGTAGCGACGCCCTTAGCTCAAACAGGCCAAGTCTCCTCGGTGTTCCACTTCAAAACAAACGAGAGAACACAACCAACACAATCCCCGCTGAAGATTGTTGAAGCATTGCAAACCATTTTAAATGACCCACAAACTGACCGTTCTCGAGAATCTATGCCCGGTCATTTTTGGGCCTTGTGACTTCGACAAGGCCATTGGGCGTGTCGGGGGACCTCCTCCAAAGGCCCCTCTTGCAGTCCAAGTTGCCACGTTTTGCAACCCCTTGCCACTGCTGCCAGTGTAAGGATCCAGCCGTGGAACAGGACCTTCCAGAGCAAAAAGCAACAAGAGCCTCTAGTTCTACAGCAAACTTGTAGGCAGCTGCAGCTGCTTGCAGCTGCTTGTCGATTTTCGCCCCATGGAACACTTGACTTGATAGTTCCTTGGGGTCCTAATCCCATGATTAAAAGGCCAATCAATGCCTGTTGTAGCCTGCCTGGATGAACACAAAATCACGGAATCTTGATTAAAGCTACGCTCCATACTCAACCCACTTGGAAGTAGTTGGTATCTCGAGAACTGCAACTCCATTGACAGCAGGTCAGTGGTGGGTGCACAACATGAGTGAAACACGGGTCAAAACATCTTACTAGTAAACATCCAGCACCTTCCTTACGGGGTCTCCAACGGAATACCCTGCACTACTTGTGGATCTCCATTGGACACCCCTTTGAAGGTCCTGGATTGTAAAGGATGTCTTTTCACTGGCCCCACCACGAAATGTGTGCGATGTTTCTGCTGTGGAGCCAATTATCAGCCATGAACCAACGGACTTCGGCACGGGCCTTCGCTGCCCACCTCCAGGTCCAACAGGGCGGTGCGCTGAGGATGTAAAGCTTCACCTGAGAGGAGCGAAAGAAGCCACATAGCGATGGCCTCCAACCCAGAAGCGAACATGGCCACATGGCTTGGGCAAGACTCAAGAACCAAGAGCCATGACAAACGGCCGGTCTTTGCGGATGGTTCACCAAACTGAGCAAGATTGACTATTGCAAAGCTTAACGTACCATGGCCATGGTTTTTTCTGTTACTTTTTTCCGGGGAACTGTTTGGTTCTGATCAACACCTACTTGATTGGGGACGTCAGTGGCATGAGGTTAAATACTGACAGGTCTGTCGTCAAGCCTCGGAAGCGAAAAAGAACTATGTAGTGTCCTTGCTCCTAGTAGCGATGCCAGGAGCCCCTAGTAGCTTCTTGTGACTACTAGTAAGTGCCTTTATTAGATTCCTCGGTCTCCGGTCTATCCAGGTTCTGAAAAGAGATGAAAAGAGTGCCGCGTTCGGAAATTGATAAATTGTGTTTGCTTCGACTTGCTGGGTGGAGTCGTCAGGCAGTTGCGTCGCAACCAAGGCATGTGTCTGATGCAGAATAAATGACTGAAATGGTTTGCTGCCCTTGTCAGGCAGGAGTGAACTCTGTCGTTTACTGCACAAAACAAGGGGGAATACTGACACATCTAGTTATGTACTGTGGATTCAGAACCCTTCAAACGTGGCAACCATTGATTTTCTGGGGTCCTCGTACCCTATGCACCCAGCCAATGAGAGCAACTGCTGTAGGATTCTTCTGAGTTCACCGAAACTTCACACTTTCACCTTTCCCTAAGCTTGACGCACACCAACATGCACACCATTCCCACAGAAGGACCCCTTAACGACACTGTTTAGAAAAGGAAAATGGACTTGAGACTTGTACCACAAGAAAACGACTGCATGATCTTGACACGTAGCATGACTTGACACGTAGCATTACTTGACACGTAGCATGACACGACACATAAACACGATATATAACATACATATTTAATATACACACACAAGTAAAAAAAACGTGGCCTGTGCCGTCTTCCTCTCCCAGCCTCCCCCCTGCACACCTCGCTTGGCCATGACATTGCCGGCGTCGCCCAGGACTACGCAGCCCTCGTCCACCGTGAGGTTGGGATCGGCCTGGCGGACCCAAAATCGAACAAAAAAAACGGTTCCTCCCTGAAGTTTTCCCAACCAATTTCTTGCAAAGACATCGCCATCTCCCTCAAACCGACTCAAAACATCTCAGGCACCCTCCAGTCGCCACTGGCCACCCGCAGCGCACTCACCAAATTGCGCTCCGTGGGGGCCGCGCGGTGCTGCAGCTTCAAGCAGGTCACCAGCGAAGGGTTCACAGTGAGGACCTGCGCGAGGTGCGTGGCGCCGACGAAGGGATGGTGGTGCAAAAGCAGAAGGGAGCATGGTGACTCAGGTTTAAAACCAAATTCAACGGTTGGAAATGACAATGTAACGTATATAGTGGGAGTAAGAAGAGCTTAAAGCACAATTGTTGAATCAAGGAAGGGGCAAGGAAGAAAAGGAACAAGACTTGCTGGGTGCCGGTCTGTTTGGTTGGGTCCAACGGAGAGGAGCTGGTTTCTGTTGTGTAATTATAAACAATCCAGAATTGGGAAGGTGCAATGACAAGATATGACAAGTCTATTGAGCCTAGAGGACGTCCAACCGAAAGCTAGTCTTGTACGGTCTTGTATGGATTTGGTAGCATTGGGCAGGAACTCACAGCCCCAACTCACAACTTACATAATTTACGCCAAATGCCCCAGGGACGAGTGTTCCTGTGAATACATGACCCTACGATGTTGAGAGCGCCTTAATTTGAGGTACATCACAAGTAACCTCGCGCCTTTGCACACCAAGTGAGAAATCCCTGATACATGGGTAGATGAGTTATGATGAGTTCCTGTACAAAACACACCTCAAATCTCCAATCAGCCCTTGTCACGACGGCAGCAGCACATGCCGCCTCTCCGCCAGGATACACGAAGGACAAGGCATGACAACGGTGCTCACCTCAGAGTTCACCCCTCCGGTTCACGCTCATTCCGTCATGCAAACCTCGCTGAACTCAACGAACTAGGTCAATGAACACGAACATTCACGGTGGTAACTGCAGTGCTTGCAGCAAGAAGTAGCCCCAGGTGGCCCCTGTGGTAAAGGAGACAAATCGCCTGCGGCCCTAGGTCCCATCCGTGTTTCAAACTAGGAGAGCAACACTTGTCCCTTAGCAAGAGAAACAGCATCTGTCACATCTGTGATTCAGTGCAAGTTTGACGTAGATTGCCACACTAGCGCCACCACACTAGGACCCCTTTGACCCAATTGAAATTCGGGCGCCGGCCACGAAGCCCGTGCCCTGCCCGGAGAGCCTTCGGTGGTAACCGAAAGTTATATAGGGGCGCTCCCCCTGCCGCCGACCCTCGGTCCCAAAACGGGCGGACGTTTGGGTCACAGATATCAACGTAATTTACAGGGGTTTGTGCGTGCGATGTTCAAAAACCTCGTGCTTTACAGGGTTTGGGGCCCCTCGGTGGCCGAGAATTTCATCTGGGCGATGTAAGAAACGTAGGTTTTTTCCAGGTTTTTGCTTTGCGGGAAGGAAAAAATCGTAAAGGTTGTCTCGGAAGATTTTTTCAACATAAATTGCCTCACATATCCCCAACATAGGCCCAATATAGCCAACATATCCCCAACATAGCCCCCAAGATGGCTCAACATAGGGCCAACATACGCCAACATAGGCCCAACCTAGGCCAATATAGGCCAACATAGGCCTAACATAGGCCAAGATGGGCCCAACATAGGCTCAACATGGGCCCAAGATGTGCCTAACATAGACCACATGGGCCCAACTTGGCCCAACCTAGGGCAACAAATCGCTTCACTTCGCTCAATATAGACCCCACCAAGGCCAACATAGGCGTGACATACGCCCCACAGACCCAAGTGGGCCGGCGCCCGGCTGTTAGGCGTAAGCCTTTAAATAATCACATCCGTCGAGTCACTCTTGGAACACCAAAGCTGTGAAATGCAGCACCGGGGGATCTCGTATTGGCCATCCTTTTTCTTATCGTCGGCCACCATCTCTCGAGGTGAGCCACTCATCCTGAGAGGCCGAGCCAGCGGAGGCGATTCTTGTCAAAAGCAAAGTCGTCAAACTCTCCGTGCTTTATTTGTGCTTGAGTTGGTGACTTGACAAATCCCTAGGGTTCTTGGCCCACATCCTGATAAGCTAGTTAGACCGCCCTGGCACCCTCCCCAACCACCCCAAACCAAGGAAACAAAGATCGCACTTGGAGATATCATATCGTCATGTATCTGTGGCTGGGACCTGCACTCCTGATGCCGTCGAGCCGATTCCCACGCATCTGATGTGGCGACAGCCCACCGACACTGATCACGGGGGTCGGTGAAATCCCGCAATCAACGCTTCTGCTCTGCGCAGCTCGTAAATCGAACCAAGTCACGGCACGAAGACCCAGAACGTCCCCTGTGGCGGGACCACGCCGCCCGCGCCGCCGGCGCCGGCGCCGGCGCTCGCGGCCGCGCGCCGCGCTCGGAAAGCAACAGCAGGGGCCAAGCGGCGATACCTAAGAAGGACTGGTAGCTGCACATTACATGAAAGACTCAATGTATACCAAAATGGAACAAAAGTAGTTTGCTCATGTTTACTTACTTTTACTTCGTAGCTGTGCGGAAAAAGCTGTAGTAAGCCAGGTATGAACTTAGTTACTTGATCATAAATTGGGAAAAGGGAATACATCATCAAGTTGGCTGAAACAGCAGGTAACCACGAGTAAAGTACAATCCATAGGGAGATGATTGGCAGCGGTAACATGAACATAGAAGAGCGAGTGCACTCAAGTTGTAACTTGGGCCAAGTTGTTCAGAAGAGGCATTCAAATATACAGGAGCCGCACTAAGATATATATATAATATAAAGCAACGTACGAACGTTTGTCCAAACTTCCTTCCAGTTGATTTCCACAGCTTCATTGGCGTGACTGGGAAATGAACCGTCATGTCCCCTGCTTAAAAGCCATACAGCTCCCTGTGACTCCAAGGGTTACACACACTCTCGGGAAATTGAACGTACGAACTGAAAGCCTCATGCCACTCGCAAGCCTGAGTGAAACATGTGCCAGAGTAAACCAGGTAGCTCTCGACAGCAAATCGGTGCAAAGGACAAAGTCTTGTTGTTGGTACAAAGCAGGGACCAAGGATAAATTGATCAGTGAAAATCAAATACATTTTCAGCACCACACCACCAGGCTCTTCGTTGGCCACTCCCTGGTGGTGGGTGGAGTGGCCCCCTGCAAAGTTGAAACACATTGTCCATATATAAATCCAAGCACAAGCAAGTGTATATACAGGGATTGGGAAGTCTCTTTGGTCCTGATTTTGCTCTGCTTTCTATCCGATGTGGAACATAACAAAACTGCCACACACACACACACACACACGCAAAACGCAGTTTTTGCCATGTGTTGCCTACCAACTAGTTTGCAAATACCAGGATCTATGACTTCATGGTTCCACGGCCAACAAACTATCATCAAGCGCCCAGTGGCAGGTGATGGCCATGCAGCACATCAATGATTTTGGAGGTGAACTCTGCATGCTGACCGAGGTTGGCCTAGCAGTGGCTGGTGCTCAGCAGTTCACCAGTCGGGATGGGTGCCAGGTTGAAAACATCTAATTAGGTGCAGTCCAGCCAGGTGTTGAGCAATCGATTGGTCTGCAGGGTCCCAACCCCAACCCCAGTGATGTTCTCACAGCATGATGTAGGGTCGTCGTCTCTGTTAACAGAGGGAATCAGGCACTGCTCTCAAATATATCTGAAAGACAAATTTGAAAATATGATATGTGCAATACGAATACTATTGGGGTCCAAGACAATTTTATAAATGCTCTTTAGATCTCTTTTGGTGATACCAAAAGGAACTTCCTCTATTTTAGCAAGCAAATATAGTATAATATAGTCTTTGGACTTCTAGGCACATGTCACCCTTCCAAAGCACATGTCACCCTTGTGGCACCCTGTCCACATGTGTGGGGAGTCTAAGGTTCCGCAGTCACTTCTGCATGCAGCTGTGTACTTGAATTTACACCATCTTCCTCTGGTCGCAAAACTGCGCGCAAGACAGTGTGAGGCCAGGCACCTCAACACATGGCACCTCACGAGCGCGGCAAGCTTTGACCACAGCACCTCAGAGGTGACCAAGTGATTCCCATGCCGGCAGGATATGATCCATGCAAGCAATCGCCCATATATAAGAGAGAATCCCCAGGCAAGCCAACTCCACAGCTAGAGTTTGTAAGAATAAAAACGACCCAAGACTCAAGACAAGCATAACCAGTCCAATTCATCATGTCTTCACATCTTCCATCCACGCGCTTCTCGTTGGGCGCCATGTGCTTTTTGAAGGGCCCGAAACCGACTCCAATCACCGACCCATGGGTTGACACAGCGACCTTTTGCGGGTGCAAATAGGTGAACCGGCCATGTATGGCCAGGGGAACCAGCGTCTCATTCTCATCCGGTTGGCCATTTCCAGGTTGGCCATAAGGTGAATCCCAAAGCAGTGCTGCACTTGCAGCTGAGGAGCGACTCTCTTCCGGGGTCATGTCTTTGACAGCGCCCAGGAAGAAGAGGAGCGTTCTCTTTGATGATTCTCCTGGTGGATGGCGCAGAAAGCTCAGCCAAACCGGACTATATACGTATATGCCGTTAGTGCCCATGATCATGAATCATGGAAAAAGGGATGGGGAGAGAAAATCATTCAAATACTCAGCAATCTTCTTTACTCACAACATGTCAAGCCACTTTTCCTCAACCTCATGGATTCTCACTTGGATTCATGTGTTTTCCTTGAGCTTTTAGCTGTATAAGACACTGTTTGAGACGGAACAACTCCAGCAAACGCCAAAGACACTTGAATGAGGTATATATATTACTGGGCTCCTGCAAAAGATAAGTCCAACCGCAGAAGAGGCATCTATTGTATTACATTGGCTGATTCTAGGGGCGAAAGTAGGTAAACGTTCCCAATTGATGGGGATGGGCTTCAAATCCCTCATCCACTTTCCCTATCCACAAGAGTTCTCATGTTTGATGCAATAATTTTACTGCAGTCTGTCGACCGTCTCCCTCTATACAGTGTATACCATTCCACCACAGCTGGAACCTAGTGGGTGCGTGGTTGAGGGTGCCGCATTAATGTATACCCACAAATTACATTAGTGTCTACAGTCATCTATAGTCTATAATTGCTTAATTGATCTCAATTGGATACCACTTCTATCTACATTGCATGGCCTCTAAAGCAGTGCTTCGTCCGAACTCATCCCAACAACCCACGCAGTCAGCTAGCTTGATCTGATACAAAGACCAATCGACTCTTGAACCAAACAAATCCCAAAAAGGTTCAAATAGATGAGATACCTTCCAGAATGCCGCAAACCCAACCGGTAGAACAAGGCGAGATCATTAAGAACCCAACAGGGAAAGCATGGGAAAACAAAGTAGAACAATGTACACAACATACATGTGTAAATCCATTGGCATAAATTCCTCCGAAATCACAGTCTGGCGCGGCACTGGCTGGTTTGAGTTGTTTCTCGCCTGCTGTATCACTTCGGAGGTTGTCATCATAGAGCCCCAAGCTCTGTGGATAGGCCTCCGGTATTCGGTGGCACATGAATGAGATAGATGCACCCTAAATCTAAAGGCACAGGCAAAAATCAAAGAGAAAAACATATGACGTAACATATCTATTAAAAGAGTATGTTCAACACCTATTCAGCGATTCTCCTGCTAGATGTATGACCGGCCTCAGAACCTGTTCAGGTCGTTGGGGCATAGTCCTGCACCTTTCTGAGTCCTTGGGTCCTTCCATTGTCCTTGGTCACTGCTTCGTTTAGGTCTGTGGCTCCAATGCAAGCAAAAGATGAGTCTTTTGGGTCTCAGTCCGGAAAATGTGTTCGATTCCTTGGTATTCCTCGCCCAAAACCCAATCCAAACGGCTTTCTTTTTCAATTAGAGAACCCCCATGAGCAGTCCTTTTCTCAGTTCCATCCACAAACGCTCACAAGACTCTTAAAGGAGTCTTCAGCCTTTGCCTCTTTGTATCCAACTTAGATCATGGCCGGAGGTGCCGGTGAGTCCGGTTGGTTGGGAATCAGGTCAATCTGAAGATCCTGCCTTGTTTCAGGATCCCTAATGAGGGTCTTGTGACAAGCACCTGCTCGGCTGAGCACGACCAAACCGAGGCCCAAAGCCCGATTCGACCTGAGCACCTCGAACAGTTCGATTGATTCGGTCCCAGTATGTCCCAGTCCATTATCCTCACAAAAATTCGCTATCACATACTGCCCTGCACTTAACAAAGTCAAAAAATCACTTTCCTTATTTTTGACATGTTTAAATCTCCCTATGAGTTGGGGAGAAGGCTGGGATATCTGGCTTGAACACCCCAAACATAGGGCACCCCGTGAAGTCACAGCTTTCTGTCTTTAGGACCCGTTGTGATTCGGTAGGGCATGGAACAAGCATGTGCTCTTTAGTACCATCCGTACAAAATTACAGCAGCAGTGCTGTTATTGAATCTCTGTCTACACATTCAAGCAAGGATATGATTCTCTAGAACATGTGGAAAGTCAAGTCTCTGACCACTGTTTGGACTTTCGGCGGATGACATGTTTTTTTCTTGCTGGTCACCCTGATTGAAACTACTTATTTTCAAAGTGCAGCTGCACTTAAGGAAATCAGTCAGTAAGGGGAGGGCATGCCATACCCCCCCCTTAGGGAGGTCGGTAGCGCTACCGACCTCAGTAAGCCCATGGCTCTCAATCAATGGGGCATGGTTTTGTATTGATTTAAGCATCCCTGAATTATTTTCACCTGCACTTAAGGAAAGCACATGGAGGCTTACTGCAGTCGGTAGCGCTACCGACTGCAAAAAGGGGAGGGCATACCAAGCCCTGTCACTACTGAGGTGATTTCCTTAAGTGCAGGTATTAAACCTTTTGAATAGGTGAATTATTTTCAATTCTAAGTTCGAATTGGGGGAGATGGTCCACTATCAAAGGAGAGAGTAGGAGAGAGAGGGGCGTGAAGCCTGGCTGCCTGACCGATTGTTAATTTAACAACCAGAAGTGAGCTTTACGGCTACAGGACCGTTTGGCTGCATGGCAGATCTCCGGTTTGGCTGCATGAGGGTCTCCTTTGCTTTATCCTTGTCCCATGGGCAGGTTAACCCACCTTTTCTATTCGGGTTTTAATGTTATTTATAAGATTTTATTGGATTCATCATTGAGTACTTCCGAGCTGCGGTCCCAGCAGCAATTATTGTTAAATGCAGGAATGACATTTTGACATCGTTAAGTGCGCCCCAGCATACTCATCCTATATCATCCTCACATGCATCCTCACCTCCGCATCAACTCATCCCCTCTGAGAAGGTCTCCACTCCCGTCTCCGATATATCCGGTCTCCGAGCCTCGTGCAGAAGCACCACGGAGGTGGGACCGCTGTGGGCGTACTGGGCCACCTCATGGGACCAAGATCCGGGTGGCGGGTGAAGTGAGATGCACTGAGGCGAAGGGCGAGATGTTCACCCAAGAGACTAGACACGTTTTGTTATGTGTTTATCTCATGTTATTTCCTTTTTTGGTTTCCTTTTCTAAATATTGTCTTGATGGGGTGGATTTGTCTGGGAAGAATAGCTATCGACTATCGAGATACATTATCTCCATTCACATCCCATATGGATGCATCTTGCTAAACTGGTTTGTACATGTTTCGCTTCGAGTATGCTTGCAAAATCGGAGGGGGCTTTCTTGCAAGGATCCATGTTCATCCCGTTCCTAATACTGTAAGTGGCATTGTCCTTTGCACTAAATTGTGAAGAAAGGTCAGACAACAAAGGCCCTTTCCGTATAGGGCAAAACTCCGATGACCACTAGGCACTACCAGCATCTACCAGGATCTACCAGTGGGCTTTGCGGTGGGCTTGGTCTTACCATCAGCTGAGCTCCCAGGCCCAAAATCATATCAACTCGATCACGTCTGCAACACTCTCATCTCTCGTCCATGGCCCTCTTAGGGCTGGCCCGATGGCCTCCACCCTGGTAGCGATGGCCTCCAACCTAAGAACGATGACCTCCAACCTACTAGCAATGGCCTCCACCCTAAGTGGTGGCCTCCAACCCAAATCCATCCGCTCACTCGGGGCACCCCCGCCATGTCGTCGATGTGCCCCCCCAGAAATCGCTCGCGATCGGGCGCCGAGATGTGCAAACCTGCGACGTCGATGAGACCCCGATGGCGTCACGGAGAGTCGAAGGACGACGGCGACCCTCTTCAGGTCCGCCCGGTCCGGACAATGAGATGCTCAGGTCGCCCAAACAGCTTTGCACGCAATTGTTGTTAAAGTAGATCCACCATGTGAACGGATTCCGGCAAGTCTTGAATGTCTTGAATGTATTGTTTGTGTTTGGATGACTTTAGTCAACACTGAGGTATCCAGCCTTACTTGAGGTTTGTCCGTTTTTCCATGCTTTTCCCAAAAATCTGTTGAGGCGGCTGGCTAGACCAACAATGGCCCCGAACGGCAGTGGCCCGGTGCCACTGCCGTGGGTTGGCCCACCACGAATCACACTCCCCACCCAACCAGTGTCACTGTCCCAGCTTCCGCTCCTGGCATTTGAGTGCCTTCCAATGCCCTTTGGAGGACCATGATCATGTGGTACTCTGAAGGCACGGGACAACTGGCCACAAAGCGAGGGCTCATATGCAAGGCTCGATAGTCCTCGAAGATGAACCTCGGTGCCCGAACATCGGCAGCCAGTTGTTTGGTACTAATATTTACTCATGCTGGCATGAGAGGTGAGCGCTAGAAACCGGAGATTTGAAACTGTATAATAGTCAAATTGATGTACCAACAAACACGCATTTTGTTGAGATGGCTCATCGAGCTCTTGATTTGAGGTCGATTTGGAGAGCACGCAGCACACACTGGCTTTCGCCCACAGGCAAGAAGAGCCCCCAGGCCTCGCTTTTCGATTCAGGTTGGACTATGACTCCTTGGTGGGATCTTTGAGCCTTTTCCAGGCCAAGGTTCCATCGACACCCTTTGCCCTGTGCCATACGTGTCAAGCACGGGTGACCGGCTGTGAGCAAGGTTTTCAGGCACCGCAGGTGCTACGGGCGTCGGATTTGGATTTGGATCGCAGGGTTCGATGTATAGAATCAGAAAACATCAGAAAACGTCAGGCGTTCTTTCTGCAGAAGAAAAAGAACAGCTTGAGCACCCCAAACAGCTTGAGCGCCAGGTGTTTGGCTGGAATGCAGCCTTCTGATCCTTTTTCTCCTGATAAAGGTTTTGACCTTGCTCCCTTCAGCTGGAAAGTCTCACCGGATCCTTCCCTCGAGATCTCAGCAACACAATCTCATGGATATCATCCCACGGAAGGCCACGGCCCCTCCACAGCGCAGCCGTCGCAATGCGCGCCTGGGACGTGTGGGGTGCTCTGTGTTGGAAGGGGAGTGCAATCTTCCAGACCACTAGTATCTGGTGCGGTTTGGCACAGCGACTGATAGATATATAATATTCAACTATATAATATTATAATATGATATTATATGCAATGTTTATGTGAAATACCAAAAGGCTCAACAAAAGCCGTAAATAGCGGCAATGACTTGATGTCTTCGCTGAGTTCTACATGCAAGATGGCTGTCAAAGTGGTACCATCTTACACTCCCAAACTAGAACCCCAGCACAAATTTGCCGAACAAACCTTTGTGGGGCAGGGTCTTGTTTCTGGCGGGACTCCGTATATGGCGTAGTATATCCCAGCGGCCTCACCAAATTATATGTATATATATATATATTATATAGTATCAATATCCATGATATTTTTTTAGAAAAACACCTCTTCTTAAGGTGTATATATTCTATAACAACTATTTGTCGCACCAACCAGGGACTCCAACTCTAAACCCCTCCAACCCAAGCACCGGCCAGTGGAAATATTCTCCTCCCAGGCACTAGGGCGTCTCGGCGCGCCACGTGAGTGGTCGTTGCTTTGAAGCTTTCAGGTGTGAGTTCGCCTGCGAATGCGGATTTCAGCCAAACAGTTGTTCCACCACTGGGGAAAAACATGCCACCCGAAAAAGGATCAGTTCGGATCGAAATTAGGATGAGGCATGATGAGGCTCGTTCCTAATCGAATACATCCAACATCATCCAACCAAACACAGCGCAGTGCATGTTGCATAGCCATGCGCATCACAGCCATGAGATCTCCTGTGTCCGCATACGCCCGCGCCTGGGGCTGTCAGCACGAACACCAACTTCCCTGCAGCCTGTCGGGTCGCCGACATGGCCGCAGCGCAGCCGCCGGCACAGCCGCCGGCGCTGCCGGACACCGGAGGAGGTGCTGCGGGCGCCCCTCGGGGTGCCGGGCCTGGAATTGATGAGTCGATGGGATTGGACGAAAACAGCCGATGTGTAGCCAAAGTCGCGTTTGTGTTGATTCAGCTGATTGTGGGGCCATGAGGGGATATGTACTGTGAGTTTCTTCAAGCAATCCTGGCAATCCTTACACCACTTCTGGTCAATTCAAATCTTCACCCCTTGTCCTCCCAATCTGTCTTTTCCCTGCCTGCTTTGGGCACCATGCCAACCCCCCGGCGGAAGACGGTGTTCTCGCCACGGGAACCGCGCTGGGCGGCCGGCGGCGGTATCCGGTCCACCACCAAAGAGGCCCAAGACTTGGTTGGGCATAGCTGCTGAAGCTCCTCGCACAGGCCGCAAAGGCGCGTGGGTGTGCAGGACCCTTGAATTCGGGGCGCCCAAACACGCCCCAAGTAATTGTGAGAACGCACCAGTAATCATGGCTGAAATGCAAATCAACTTTTAGAAGTTTGGGCGTTGAAAAGCTTCTACTATCTTATACTTACCACTTGTCAGAGTATAAGCTTTGCATCTGGCACCCAACTTCACAAGTTACATGATTTCCAGCCATGATCCCTGGTGAGTTCTGACAGTTACTCCGGATCTTGGCGCCCTGATTCATTTTGGCGCCTCGAATTAAAGGCACGGTAAAATTGTTTAAGGCAACGCGTGGCAACATGAGTCTGGCCTTAAGGCATCTTAGGGCATTGTTCTTCACTGGAAGCAAACAAACAAAGAGAACTCAAAGAAACCTGAGTGGTGGAAGAAGAAGCGTGGTGGATGGGACGCGAGTTCTGAGATCGAGGAAAACCTCAAAATGTGGCCTCAATCAACTTCACCCAGTCAAAGAAAATCGATGGACAACCTGCTGGACCCTGTTGGCACCTGTGGTCGCAGAAAAACCATCATTTCAGAATCGCAAGTCATGGAAATCGATCGGATTATCAACAAGCATAGTGCAAGGACTAGATCGACTATGACAACTAATTGTAGACACTGCCAGTCCTGTTCTTGATGCTTTAACTTTTCGGCCAATTCAAAGTCCTCGTTCTCGACAGCACGCCTGGTGGTCCGTTTGAGGGTCACAGCAACCGTTGATGCATGTTCGCAAACAAAACCTGTCTTCGGTTTAGTTTCAGGATCCATGTTTGATCGTAATTCATGAGACATAGCAAAGTTTACCATGGCCATCACTACCTGCGTTTCCTGTTCTTCTCAGAGGATCTCAGAGGATTCTTTTTCATACAGAATCGGCGTGCTTCAGTCGTGCTTTCCCGATATCATTTGCCAAGCACCTCCACCACGCACCTCCACCACCCCGATGTGCCAAGACACAGTTTCGACTCGGCCAGGGCTTGCAACTGGCTTCGGATCTCATGTTGAGCCACTTGGCCTGCGACCAACGGAGTTCATTGGCTTGACGATCATGTTGGAGCCAGGATTAGCCGCATGAAAGATCCAACATTATCCAGCCCTCTTGGCTGACAGTAGAGGTTTTCTTGTCTGTTGGTCTTTGTTGAATGATTTCAGAGTAGGAAACACGCCGCCGGTCAATTACACTTCTGCATTTAACCTCCGGAGAATGTTGCTGCGCCAGCGCGCCATCCCGTTCTTCTATACCAAAAGGATCCAAAAGGTATCGTTTCTGGACAGTCTTCCAGGCATTTGGCAAAGCCAACACTGATTTTGGAGAGACCGTTTGGGAAGTCTGCCCTCTTCCGCCACCCAGAAAGCACAGCGACGAGGAACACGACTAAGTGACTACCTAGACTCTAGACAATATCTCTATGGCAGTGTACACTGAATATTCCTTGATATTGTGGTTATTGTAAACAAGCAGCTCTCAAGATAAAAGGAAAAACTCATAGGCTCTAGAAATGCATCCTTTACAGGTGTTCTAGGTCTTAGGATTTTCTGGAGTCTTCCGGTTTGGTCTCAAATCGACTTCAGAGCCTTGCCGCTCAGAGCTGACATTTGGTTTGGTGCTCTTCTCCTGGTGGAGAGACTCCACCAACGGGGGGGTGTCAAAGACTTGCCCAAGCAACCTGGGAATGAATAACTTCAACTGCTGAGCGTCCCGCAAACATGCTTATATAGATTCAATTCATATAAATTTACTGCAAAACCTTAACTAAAATCTTGTTGGTGTGCAAATTTGCTTTCTGCGAGTGGTCAAGACGATCCTCTACATCCTCACCTTCTCTCTATCATCTGCCAATATCTGCCCCTAGAGGGCTGGGTTTGCGCTGGAGCATCTCCGTAAAGTTTGAGTCAAGGGTCAAGGATCTGAGGTAAGCACGTGGATGCCTTCAGCTGTAAACTAGTGTCAAGTTTGGCACACTCTGTCCGACCCGTTGGAGGGTCCAATCGGAAGCTACATCACTTTGATGGACACGTGGATGAATGGCTGCAGGGTCGGATTGGCAGGTTTCAATATCCTCAGCGAAAGTTGTGCATGCTCATTCTTCTCCCACAGTCCTTCCAGTCCAACCCTGAACGGGTTTTGGATGGGATGTCTCTAGCTACTTCAGCTTGTCAGCCTGTCCTTTGCCTCTTTGGGCACATCTGCCTTTGCCCGGGCCGCCTCGTCCGCCTTCCGAGCTGCCTTGACCAAGGTTCATCGGAATTGACGTATGTGGAACGCATTCTGCACCGGAAGATAGAATAATATGCATTCATTTCTCACCATACAATATTGCAATTGTGAACACAACTCTTTTCAATATTGGAGAATTGAAACATCTAGAACAAAATCTTTAAAAACACCTTGCACATCTTGGCCTCAAAGGCATCCGTCATGGGAGACCACACATGGCCCTTTCGCTTCGCTCGAGATCGCTCCTGGCAAGGCGCCCTTTTCGACAGTCGGGGAGTCGGGCCCAAAGGCACGGTGTGACCCAGACCCCTGAGAAGATGGGAAACGAAGAAACCAGGGGACATGTGTACTTCTCCCATTGATGGAATCTTTAAAGGCATTGAACATCATTGAAAACATCTAAGCCCACTCCTAGCGACTAGTCACAAGGGCATCGCTACTAACAAGGGCATTACTACTAGTTGCTAGAAGCTACGAACGTAACAATCTAAGCCAAAACAATCTCTGCTTGAGGACACGATGATCCATCCGCATCGGACTGCGGATTTGTGCTGGAGGTCTGGAGAAGATGGGGCCCAAGACCTATATAGCATTGAGTGCAAACTGGTACTTGATATACTTTCTCTACATAAAGCATATTTTCCAGTTCCCCTGTCATTACCACAAGTTCGGTCCCTTAGGCCCCGAGTTCACGTCCACTGTCGAGTCCAAACTGCAGCCTCCAAGGACAACTCCGTTCAATCCATTTCTTGATTCTTGAGATTATTTGAGGTCACTTTTGAGGTCATTTCTGCAAAAGCTACTAGGAACAAGTGCCACGCTAGTAGTAACAGGTGCCTTACTACTAGTAACAAGAAGCTATTAGGAACAAGTGCCTTACTACTAGTAACAATAAGAATTTAATTAGACAGTCCACTGCTTCACTCCCGAAGGTCGTCCTGCCGCCCCAGCTCCGCGCTTTGCGCCCGGAGTTCCGACGTAGCTCCACCCCGCGGGGCCGAGGGTCGCCACGGCGCGTCCTGGCACCGAGGAGTCTCACCCAGCTGTAGTGTTGCCTGGTCAGTTGTAATAGTGTGGTTCATGGACGCATCGGAAAATGGATGTATGGTCAGGGAAAGTGGCTTTCAGTGTAGTTAGGCCCATTGAAGGTCCTAACGTCCCAACATTAGGTCCATTGATAGGTCCAAACAAGTGGATTTACTTAATGATTCTTCTAACATCTTGAAACACTCATGTGGGGCCCATTGAAGCCAACACCGCCACGGCCTCGCCTCCACCGCCGGAGCAGCGGAGGCGCTCCGAAACGAGCGCGCCTCGCGCGCCTTGGCGTGGCAGCTGAGAACATCGCAAGTTGGTCATCAGCGACAAATGGAGAACCCCAGGGCAACTTGTTGCTGTCCGCGGTCAGTTTTATTCAGTTTTGCTATCCACAATGTAAATGTGTCTTGCAGCTTCATCAACTACGCCAAAACATTGCGCAAAAGCATCTTGTAAATTTCCCGTGCAGCCAACATCTATGCCTATGCGTTCCAAGTTATAAATGGGCAAAAAGCATCGCTACTAGGAACAAGAACGCTACTAGGGGCTCCTGGCCTTACTACTAGGAGCAAGGACGCTACTAGGGGCTCCTGGCATCGTTACTAGGACTAGGAGCAAGAAGCTACTAGTAGGTCCTGATGTTTTTTCCTTTTCTTTTTTTCTCTGACAAACAACATGCACCATACAACATCGTTGGTGCAATCACATGATATTGAAATGATGGTCTTTCAACCAACATTGGCAGTAGGTGCATGCAAGTGTCGTCCCCATTATCAGCTGTACATTCATGTACAAACTGAAATAAGATACACCCCGAACATCCCCTGCCAATTGCATCCCTAAAAGCACTTGAGCCCACAGGTGTGACATCTCACATCTTGCTATTTCGCCTTGAGACGCCATGAGGGAAGGCCCCTTGATTGTCCCAGCTTCGCCAGAAGTGGGGCCCCTGGGGCTAACACACTTGTCACACCCATTCGATACCGGAGGCACCTCCGGTACTGCCGGCGTCTCCTCAAACCAAAGACTGTCTCCAAAGACCAATTCACCATTTCAGGTACATGTTTTGGTGCGTTTTGCCGTGCACATGTCTTCAAATTTCGGTGAACTGCTATCAAAACTGCGCTGATTTACGTTCTCAAGACCCAGCCACGCAGTTTCTCTTTCACAAACAAAACTGGATTTGATGATGTTCCTTCCCCGGTTTAGGTGACGTCAGTCTGTGAATGGATCCACGTTTCTTCAGTTCCCTCACTTGGAATCTCCTCGAATCTGACCTCTGATCTCAACTGCTCCTCACAAATAAATGAGTGTGCTGGCCTAAGACCTTGACAAAGAACAAAAGAACATGTACTACTTAGTACATGCTTAAAGTCTGTGGGTTGGAGAAAAGAATTTGTGGGACAAGACTTGGTCAGCTAAGCTACAGAGTCTAAGAGTCTAAGGACTTAAAGATATGCTTCGGGTGTGAGCTATGCCCGGAGGCCATAGCTACTAGGGTGGAGGCCGTCGCTACTAGGGTGGAGGCCGTCGCTAC